TCCAAGTGGATGATCGGCGCCGTGCGCGGATCCAACATCGACTCTCACAGTCGCGTTGGCAAATGGATTCGCGTGGACGAGCTGTTGCAGCAACTGAAGAAGCGCCATCAAGTCGAAATTGGGCATCGCATGATCCTGTCTCTGGTTGCCCACGACAACAAAGGCCGCTTTATTCTTTTTGGACACGTTGGCGATCCTCGCAATGATTACATCGATTGTGGGATCTGGCCTCTGTGGATCAGCGCGAGCCACGGACACAGTGCACGGATCATGGACAAAGTCGACGACTCAAGCATCGCAACCGTGTGGCTTGACCCGAGGAAGCGAACAGTCGACCGGGTTCCAGCTGCCTATAAAGGCAAGCCGTTCCTGTGCCGTGGTGATGAAGGCTTCCCACCGCGTCTGTACCACCGTACAACGCACGACGCAGCTTTCCAAATTCTTGAAGATGGCCTCATTCCTGGATTTCGCGACTCTGGCAAATATCATAACTATTTCGCCAAGGCCACGCTGTCCGAGCTCGGGAATAGAGCGGGGGTGCGCGCAAACTTGCACGTCGAACTCGTTTTCGATACAGTGGAAGTCTTGAAGCACGCTTACCTCTTTGAAACGGAGTCAGAAGGTATTTTGTGTCGTGAAAGGGTTCCCGCTGATTGCATCTTGTATGTGAGGGACTCGGAAACAAATACTACCCTCTGGACTAAGCCCTCACCAGGCGACGAGGACATTGAGGTTTAGGGGTTTAGGGTTTGGGGTTTAGGAGTTTAGGGTTTAGGGTTTTAGGGGTTTAGGGTCTAGGGTTTAGGGGTTTAGGGTGTAGGAGTTTAGGTTTTTAGGGTTTAGGGTTTCAGGGTTTAGGGTATGGGGTTGTGGTTTTGGGGTATAGTATTTTTGGGGTGTAGGGTTTTGGTTTTAGAGCTTTGGGTTTAGGGTAAGGCCCTAAACTCTAAACGCTAAGTGCTAAATCCGGAACCCGAAACCCCAATGCGACCCTCAATCTTAGATCCTTGGCTTGAAACAATGATATAGGGACCTTAATAGTTGCCTGTGCTATTTGGGGGTTGCATGTTGTAATTATTGTAATATACCTCCAAACCCCATTCTAGTTGTTAAAGCCCTACATGGCGCGAATCTAAAATCCCGAGCCGGTAGCCAGAATTTACGTAAAGGGTCATTGGACTTAGTAGCCAGGGTTATCCTTCGGGCAAGTACACGTAACACTACTTGCAACCCCAATGGAGGTGCTTAACCCCACTTACTACTTCGCATGATTCTCCAAGTAGATCCCCTCAACCCTAAAACGTAAAGCGTATCCCAGATGCCTAAACCATAAACACCGAACAAGGGCTCCTAGCCCCTGAGCTGTATGCAGGCCGCTGATTTAGGCGTGCTTAGGGTGCTTGTTGTTGGTATTGTCGTCTTGATTGTTGTCCTCCTATTCCTGGCGCTACTTGTGACTGCCGGGGTTTTTTCTCCTGCTACGTCATACGGGGGCAATCAGATCCCGAACCCAACACCGTCAACCCCACACCCCACAAGCTTTAACCCCAAACCCTTAAAGATAAACCTTACCTGAGCCCTAGAAAGCTACGGGCTTGCGGGGTTCCAAGAATACCTTCCTCGTATCGTACATTTCCTTTGACAGGCTAGGTTCTTGTCTCTGAAGGTACACGCGAGGCCTTGAAACTCAAAACTTGGATACCGCACCCACTCAGTCACAGCTGAACAGAAATATAAGACCCTTAATAGCAGCCCTGTTATAGACTGTTACTGTATGGGGGCAGTACCCAACTTAAAGCCGTGAAGCCTCAAGCCTGTGAACCCCGAAGCCCAACTCAGTCTGCGCGACCGAAGAAGCCTCAATATAGGGGCCTGACTAGTTAGAATAGGGTTTGGGGTAGATTAAAAAGGAGTTATAATAAGGAACCCCAAAACTCTATTCTAATTATCAAGGCCCCTACATTAGTCAAGATATTCCCAGCCTTCCCAAAGCCCACAAGGGACCAAACCGACACCTCAGAACCTGCACCCTCGAACCTGAAGCCTTGAATCCTCACCCCAAGGCTCAAAATAGCCCAGAAGTATGGTCTTTGGGCCCAAAAGCCTTAGAATATGAGTCCTTAGAGTCTTGGGGTTAGTTGCTGATGAGTATACTTTTACGCGTTTTTGGACACTGCTATCACCTGTAGAACTGAAAGTATACCATTTCTTTTTTTGGGGGAAGGGCCTATGAGCTCAGCAACTAAGAGCCTGCACCATAGGGCTTCTTTGTGGTATTCTAACTATTACTCGGTTTAGGACCCCAAACACAAACCCTCTAAGGCCCTAAGCCCACAACCCCATACCCTAAAAGACCCCAAACCCTAAACCCTAAACCTTCAACCCCATACCCTACAAGACTCGAAAGCAGTCATATAGAAGCATTGAGTAAACACTGAGCCCCGTCCTGCCCCAATACTAAATTTCAGTATTCCACAAAACAAATCTCCAGGGTTTAGTTTTCAGGGTTTAGGGGTTTAGGGTTTTTGGGTTTTCTGGGGGTTTAGGGCTTAAAGGCCCCTACATTTCAAGCACGAGCGCAGGACCGAATTGCTCGCTTCCGTCTCCAGAGGTTCGAATCGTTCCAGGGCAGTCGAAGGACCGGGGGCTGCGGTCCCTGCTTATATTTATAGTGTAATTTCCACCAAAACTCTAGTCTACTTCTGAGGGCTTTAGGGTTTAGTATAGGGGCCTTATTGGCTACCTATGAAATTTTGGGGCTTCCTTCTTATATTTTTAGTATAATATAACCTAAAACCATATTCCAATTATTAAGGCCCCTATATTAGGGGTTTTATAGGTTTAGGGGTTTACTTCGTCCTTGTCAGGGTGTCAAGGCTTTAGGTTTAGGGTTCTAAGGTCTAGGGCTAAGGTTTAGTTTAGGGATTGGTAGGGTTTAGGGTTTAGGGTTTAGGGACGTAGTTCTCCAATACCCAACCTCTTAACTTTTGGGGTTATTAAAACTTAGTAGTAACTTTAAAGTTCAACCTTGTATTTCTCCGGCTTATTGGGGAAATAAGTGTCCGGATGTCTCGGCATTAGGTTTAGGGGTTTTGAGGTCTAGGGTTAAAGTTTAGGGATTAGGGTTTGAGCCCGGGTTTGAGGGCTTAGGGCTTAGGGTTCGAGCTAGTGTTTTTGGAGTCGCGGTTTTGGGGGTTCAGGGTCTAGGGTTGTGTAGAGGGGTTTTGTCGAGCTTTCTCAGGCCTTGTTGGGAGAAATACTGACTTAACCCTAAACCCCATACCCTATCAGACCTTAAAGCCTAAACCCTCGACTCCACACCCTGTAAGACCCTGAAGCATGCTTCATTGCTCCAGTATCACAGTTTCAGAATGTCTGCGGCCCTCAGACTAAAAGTTAGGTTGCTGAGAATGCTTCTGATATAGAAGCCTAAATAAGTACCTACATGATTCCTTAGGGTTCCTTGTAGTAATAATATACTACTACAGAACATACCCCAAGGCCTTATTCTAATACCAGGGCCCCGACATTACTTGTATTCCTTGTCTGCAAACTCGAAGCAGCGGCTGATTGGAGGAGTGCATGCGGCCGCGCCTGGTGGAAGGGAATACGAAGATGTGTGAGGTGTGCATCCCAGTTGAGACGAACAACTACGACACGGCTCTCCTGGATCCTGGGTTGCATATAGACCCTAAACCCTAACCCCTAAACCCTAAACCCTAAACCCTAAACCCTAAGCCCACGCCCTAAACCCTAAACCCCTCGCCCTACCCCATGAATGTCCATTTTCTCAGCTCAGGAGTGGCAGGAATTCGGACCAGTGGCTTGGGGTTCTCACCGCATTCCCGAGACGAGAACGTGTATGATCCCAACTGTCCTAACTTCGCGGAACCCCCGCAACGCCCTAAGCTCCGCATGGACCTTCAAAAGTCCAAAAACCCTCAACAAGACAACTTCAAGCTCTCCAAACAAAGACCTAAACCTCGCAACCCTTTACCCAAAGCCCAAGTCCTGGGTTAGGGTTTAGGGTTCACGGTTCCGGGTTTCGGGGGTTTCGGGTTTAGGGTTTACGGTTTCGGGTTTAGGGTTCGGGGTTTAGGGCTTAAGATCTCGGGTTTAGGGTGGGTTTGGGGTTTAGGGTTTACGGTGTCGGGTTTAGGGTTTGGGGTTTAGGATTTAAGGTTTCGGGTTTAGGGTTTAGGGTTCAGTCTAGGACATTTTCAGGTGGGTAGTTACCGTTATAGGAGCCTTATAGAAGGTGTATATACCCTATGGAAGCCTTATAGAAGCCCTATATACCCTAAACTCCCCACCTGTAGTTTCCTTGAATTCAGGGTTTAGGATTCCCAGTTTTTTTGTTTGTTTCGGCTCGGTTTCGTGATCGATTCTTGGTGGTTTATAGGGGGGTGTAGAGGGTTCAATGTCCCTTAAAAGCATGACTGAGGCATCCTGACAAAGAGACCTTTCGCAATCTCAGCAATCTTCCTTACTCAAGGGATTCGGGGGTTTAGGGTTTAGGGTTTAGGGACGGCTGTTTGGAGCCTCTCTTAGTAGAAGTTCCACAAGATATCGTCCCCAAAACAAAAAGAACGCACTGCCCTAAAGCCCTCATCAAAAGGTGAGCCAAAACTGGGACCCAAACCCTAAAACCCTCAACCCACGACCTGAACCCCCCCCTCCACCCAACACTCAGAGGAACCCTCAAAGGAATCCTTAACGGAACCCTTAAAGGAATCCTTAAAGGAACCCTCAAAGGAAGCCTTAACGAAACCCTTAAAGGAACCCGTCGAGCAATCCCTAAACCCTAAACCCTAAACCCTAAACCCTAAACCCTAAACCCTAAACCTTATAGGAATCCGTAGAGGTGCCCTTAAAGGACTTGGGGTCTCTGAGTAAGAGAACTGAGGATCCCCCACAAACGGTCCGCGTCGTGCCCGCAGACACTCGGCTCTCCGATTAGGGCTTTTGAGGGTTTAGGGTTTAGGGTTTGGGGTTTAGGGTTTGGGGTTTGGGGTTTGGGGTGGAGGGTTTTTGTATTTCAGGGCTTATGCTTTCTGTATTTTCGGGGCTTGGGGGCTTTAGGGGGGGCTTAGGGTTTAGGGCTTGAGATCGTCTTACGGTCCGCACGCAGGGTTGCTTTCATGGTTCCCTCTTCGAGGGTTTCTGCAAGTTTTTCTTGTTGCTTTCGGGGTTTAGGAGTTGAAGATTTGTTTCTTGAAGTGCTTGGGCTCTTGCCTGTTGTAAGTTTTTAGTATAAGCACCTTCATTTTCGGAATCTGGTTCTGCAATAATACCTCGCTTGGACATGCTTTTAGTTCTTCTAGGGTTAGTACGGCTAGCAAGTCGAGGCTTCAAAGTCTAGGGTCTAATGTTCAGGGTTCTTACACGTGGTTTCTATTGCTAACCTTCCGGGGCGCCCACAAGAAACCCACCCACACCCAAAAGAATAGGCCCCCAAAACCGAACTCAGAAACGATGGCCCCAAGAACCCTAACAGAACTCAAGAAGCCGCCTTACAGACGCCATCATTCCTTAATCAAGTAACAAACGCTCAGTCGTATTTAAGGATCCCCCTATAACGCAAGGTGTACTGCTCAACAACCCTAAACTCAAAACCCCAAACCCTAAACCCTAAACCCCAAACCCTAAACCCCAAACCCTAAACCCAAACCCTCAACAGGCTCTGGGAAGCCCGGAAAGCGACTACAAACCTAAGTAGATGTAACCCCCCAAAACCCTATAGACCCTAAGATCTAAACCCCCAAAAATGCTACAGAACATTACCCCGACACCCCAAAACATATAGGCCCTATACCCTAGACCCACAACCCTCTAGACCCCAAACCCTGAAGCGTCCTGTCTGATGAGGACAATGCCCAGGCCTTTGACTGGCCGCAGCGAGTCACCTGGCAACGCGGCCGAGGACTTTGGACAAGCCCTTTTTCCATTTAGGGTTTACGGTTTAGGGTTCAGGTTTAGGGTGTAGGGTTTAGGGTTTAGGGTTTAGGGTTTAGGGTTTAGGTTTAGGGTTTAGGGTTTAGGGTTTAGGGTGTAGGGCTTCGGGTTTAGGGCTTAAGGGTTTACAGTAGAGGCCTAAAAGTTGGGAACCTAAGAGCCTCAACCCCTAAGAGTAATGCAAAGGGAATCCCAGCACCATTTGTCTTTAATGCGGTTTCCAACTTTTTGGGGTTTGCTGTAGGTTTAGGGTTTATAGTTTAGGGTGTCGGGTTTCGGGCTGAGGTTTAGGATTTTGGGTTGCGGGTTTAGGGTTTAGGGGTGTGGGTAGTGTAGGAAATGCTGCTTGCTTTTGCTATGCTGTGCCAAGGCTACTGTACACGAAGCTTTACGGTCCTTGACTTCGGGGCTTTGGGTTTAGGGTTTAGGATTTAGGGATTTAGCGTGCAGACGAGTCTCTGTCGCTCATGCGCCGAGGCAAACTCCTACCGAAGGTCAACTCTGTGTCGACATGACGCTGCCTGCTTCCGTCACTCGGAAGTATTTGCTTTGGGGTTTAGGGTTTATATGGTTTAGTTAGAGGTTTAGGGTTACCTCTTCAACAGGGAGCATGTCTCCACCTGTGACGGTGTGTTGTTTGGTTCGCTTGAACCCAAACCCACATCTCTTGCAGGGAATATAATACTGCACCACTGCATACTCCTGATGCCATAGGTAACGCATCTGGACTATGCAGTCTTTATCAATTAAGCGGCTTATGACGGCCATCGAACGCTGGAAACCGCATAAACCTTGCTTGAACTACTTGTTCTCTACTCAAACTAGATTCATACCATGGTGAACTTTTCAAGAGGACTAGTTCGTGTTCGAGGCTCTGAATCCAGCAGTACATTTGAGGACGTGGTCCTGAACTCCACCAATATAACCCTAAACCCTAAACCCTATACTATTTCGGGGGGGGGTCCTCATTATATTTATCGTATAATATACCCCCAAACTCTATTCTAATTATGAGGGCCCTTGCATTAGTTTCCTGCTGGTTTAGGGTTTAGAGTGTCGTCCTGGTCCTCCCTAAACTAGGCCCTAAACCCTAAACCCTAAACCCTAAACCCTAAACCCTCAACCCTAAACCCTAAACCCCTAAACCCTAAACCCTAAACCCTGCGGGCACTCTTGTGGACCCAGGTGCTCGCAGGGTGTGGGCGTCTGAGAGTTTAAACGTGTTTTGAGTGTTTTGCCTAAGGTAAGTGCTGGGTATGTAACCCTAAACCCTAAGCCTCAAATCCCTAGACCCCAAACCCCATGCCCTAAACCCTAAACCCTAACTAACCGCAAACCCCGATACCATAAATCCTAAGCCCTAAACCTTAGACCTCAAGCTCCTCAATCTAAACCCAAAGTACTTGAGGGGTGTCGCGCATCTCTACCCCGTTCTCGCCCCTTTCTTGGTTTCGGCTTGGGGTTTTGGTAACGGTTCGGGTTTCGGGTTTCGGGCTTGGGGTTTAGAGGTTAGGGTTAGGGTTCAAAAGTTCGAGGTGTAGGATTTACAGTTGAGGGTTTAGGGTTTAGGGTTTGGGGTTAGGGTTCAAAGGTTCAGGGTGTAGGATTTGGAGTTTATGGGGTTTAGGTGTCTAGGGTGTGGGGTTTACCTTTGGGATCCAAAACTCGATTGTCTTGAATTTTCAAGGGTTTCTGCACCATCAATGTCGTGTCGTAATCTTTTATTTTTATTTTCGGGATTGAAGCTACAATGCAGGATTAGGGAAATAGAGTTTGGGGCCGTGCGGCGTGGGTAGGCAGCCCCAAGCCGTATTACTCCCTTAACTTCCTAAACCTTAAAGCCCACACCTTGAAGCCTAAATCCTCGAATTAAGGACTGCTTGGACCCCCAGTCTTCATTGAAAAACCTAAGCCGCCCCTTTGCCTAGGACCCACCCGCTGGCGTCGAGATGTTCGAGCTGGTGCCCTGCTCGGCCGTCTGATACCCCGACCCTGAACCCGAAACCCTAAGCCTCTAAAAATAAGAACCTCTAAACCTTAAACCCTGAACCTCTTAAAAAACCCTCTAAACCTAAACCCTTAAATCCTAAACCCTAAGCCTCTAAACCCTAAGCCCTAAACCTCTAAACCTCTAAACCTCTAAACCCCTAAACCCTAAACCCTAAACCTCTAAACCTCTAAGCCCTAAACCCCTAAACCCTAAACCCTGGCTTGAATCAGAATATTGAGCCCTGCAGATCGCCTTCAACCGAAACCCACATGGGTAACTCCCTAAATTAGAGTCCCTTTTTGGGTCCTTATTAGAATACGGCACCTATTATTTAGGGTACCCCAAAAGGGACCATAATTTTGACAACTACCCACATCCTTAAAGCCCCTGAGCCGATTCTAAGCAAGATTCCTGTGTCCCTGCGGTATTGGGCTCTTTAGCGGGGGGGGGGTTTAGGGTTTATAGGGGTTTATAGGGGTTTATAGGGGTTTATAGGGGTTTTTGTTATAGAGGTTTATAGGGGTTTAGGGTTTAGGGGCACCATACTACTTAGTCGGGTTTAAGGGGCCACGGGTCCCCCCCGCACTTAGGATCAGAATCCAGATCCTGCTTGTCCCTTTCTGCACTGAAGCCATCTATGCCCTAGGTGTGCCGCTGTCTATGCAAGGTTTGGACTAGTAGCAGGAGTGTCCATTACTCTGGGATCGATTTCTGGTTAATTAGGGTTTTGCCCTAAACCCTAAACCCTAAACCCTAAACCCTAATCCCTAAGCCCTAAACCCTAAACCCTTTTTGGCTCAAGGCCGAGGTGTGTCCTTGTGTTTATCCCTTCAGGGCTGAGAGGGGTGTGCCGGTGGCGTCCGACTAGGGCCAGGTGGCGGATCGCTCCGAGGGCTGGATTCTGGAGAAGACTGCGCTGCTCGGCGGAAGGACAAGGCCCGGGGAGAGCTGCAGGGGGCGATTCTGAGCTTTGTCTTCGGAGGGCAACGGGGTTCGGGCTATGTCGGACAGAAGAAAGGGAGGGCAGAAAATCACCCTTGGTGGCTGGGACAGCCGCGTCGAGGCCAGTGACAGGTTGATCCCCGAGGACGTCGAGGACCTGGAAGTTCCGCCCGGGATGGACACTTCGGGCAGCTCGCCTAAGAGAGCGGCCGAGGAAGCAGATGGGCCACGGGGCAAGAGGCGGGAGAGGGAGGGCGGTACAGGCGCGGTGGCCGGCCTTGACCTTGACCAGATGGAGAGGCTTCTGGAGGCGCATAGCACCAGGATCTTGAAAGCTCAAAGAGAGAACTTGGAAGGCATGATGTCGTTCTTTGAGGCTAAGACGGACGAGAAACTCAAGCGAGTGGAAGACAAGGCAGACGGTGCGGACAGGCGAGCGGCAGCGATCGAGGACAAGGTGGAGCAGCTGCAGGGTCAGGTGGCGGAGTTGCTCAGGACAGGTAAGGGAGGGGGAGGCCGAGATGGTGACCGCCGATTCACCCTAGTGTTCGGAGGTTGGAGCCGAGACACCAGGAGAAGTGTCATCTTGCAGCAGCTGGGAGAGGCGCTGGAGCGCCTCCAGCTTCGCGACTGCTTGGACGCGGAGCCTTTCTGCACGGGACCGAGAAGGAGCACAGCGCTGGCCGTGTTTAGCCACAGGGGGGGGGAAAATGACTACCAGGTGAGGAAGAGAATGCACACAGCACACAGTGATAATGGGCCTGGCAGGAAACACGGTCGCCATCCCTCACGGCAAGACCCTCTTTGCCACTTACTCAAAAACCAGGGCCGAAAGAGCAGTTGCGGCACACGCGGCATGGGTAAAGAGGTCCCTCTCGACTTTGGGGCAAGATGTAGCTTCCCTGCTGGATGTGGAGTACAACACCGGGACGTGCTGGATTGGGGGGTCCACCGTGGCTTCGGCGACACGCCCTAGTGAGCCGGGGGTGCATGAGAAGCACCTGATGAGGGACGAGAATGAGGGGCACAAGACCTGGGTGGACATCGAGGCGATTGCAAGGGAGACCAAGCATCCCCACAAGGACATCTTGAGAGCACTTGAAGGGGAGCGCCGCTGACCCGAAGATGGTTCTGATGTGGGGGCTCAAGCTGGCCCACCAGCGCCTTTATGGGACTTCGACATAAGATCGTGGAACATTGGAGGCGTTGATGAAGCAGCGGTGCCACAGGTGCTCCGCGACCTGGATGTGTCCGAGACGGAGCACATCGTTTATCTTCTCCAAGAAGTGCCACGCCGGGAACCGGGGTGGCACACAGACTCGGCTGGTGGATGGTCGATGCTTAGTCACCGCCCTGAAGGGCGATGGAGAGGGGCTGGAATCATCTACAAAGAGCTCAGCTGGAAAATTGTGCGTAGGATTGCCACGGAGAGAGGGATTTGGCTGCGACTCCGGCATGTCACCTTCGGGAATTTGGTTCGGGTGGGTTCAGCGCACTTTGACCCAGGGTGCACGCAAGCGGTGCATAGAGCTGCAGTAGAGGAACACCTTCATAGACTGAGGCCCACGACATTACCAATCATCCTTGCCGCAGACATCAACTCGCCTATCAGGTGGGAAGAAGGGGAAGACGGAGATGTGTGTCCGGTTGGCAGGGACGGGAAAACGGTAGGGTACCTTGAAGCAGTTGCCGGTCGAGGACTACAACTCGCAGCCCCTCATCGAGATCAGTACGAGACGCCGACGAGCCGACCTAGGCAGGGCGGAAGGCAGGGAAGGCAGATCGACTGCATAGCGAGCCGAGGGGCACTTGTTTCCCGACTACGCATCTTTGAGGGCACATCGAAAGCTCTGGGCACCGATCATGACATGCTGCAGTGCAAGGTGTACATGACAGCGGACAGGGAGAGGACTGTGCATAGTACTAGACCTCGGGTGTGGATTGGAGGACCCTCCATGATCGACAAAATCGACCAGCCCATACTACGGGAGATGGCACGGACCTGCACTAAGCCCAAACCTAACAAGGGATACAAGGACCCGCCGGAAGTCAAAGCAGCAGTTACAGCAGCACGGCTCAGCCAAACAGGCGTGGCATGGAAGGAGGTGCAGAACCAGAGGAAGCTAGCGCGCAGACGGTGGGAGGCGCAAAGAATCACGGCAGCAATGGAAGGCCTTTGGGACCAGGTGAGACAGCTCCGGGCAACTAAGAATACGGGTTGGGACACTCACTATGCGGAGTGTCAGGGGGAAGGGGAAGCTCACCGCTCGATACATGACCATCTCTCAAACATCTACCAGACGGGCAACGAACTTCCACCTCTGGAGGAATGGAAAGGAGAAGTACAGGCCTTCACAGAAGAAGAATTAAAGGCGGCATTAGCTTCAGGGAAGACAGGGAAAGCAGTGGGAGTGGACCAGACGAGCCTTGAGCTGCTGAGAGGGATCTGTGCAACTGAAGGGGGGATGACGCATCTTCTTGAATTCTACAACGGCATACTCTGCACTGCGAACATCCCGCCGGATTGGAATCGGGCGGTCATGGTGGTCATACCTAAGGTAACGTATCCTTCGGAACCAGGGGAGCTACGGCCGCTGGCCATGGGCAGCGCAGCTGCCAAGATCTTCACCAGGATGTTGCTTACCAGGTCGGAGCCGTTACTAGGGTTGAAGGGGCCGGAACAGTGCAGTGGTAAGGGCAGACAGTGCTGTGACTTTCTTTTTACAGTAGCTCGCCTGATGCAGCTGGAACAAGAGTGGAAGCAAGGAGTCTGCTGGCTGAAGGTCGACTTAGCTAAGGCTTTCGACCGGGTTGACCGGAGGACTTTGACAAACCGACTTAGGCAACGTATGGGCATGACTCCTGAGTTTCGGTGCTGGTACAACCTCTTGAGGGGCACAGACGCTGTCTTACAAACCGGTTGGGACAGCACAGTCATTGACATGCAGGATGGAATCAAGCAAGGGGCCATCGAATCTCCTTCGTTCTTCAGTTTCCTTGCAGAGACATGCTTACATGAAGCCAGCGCCAGGTTCAAATGGACGGACCAACCACGAACATTCTCGGGGCTAGACCTGGACAACTTGTTGTACATGGACGACGGACTGCAGTGGAGCCAGGGGATTCAGGGAATCGAGTCTCGCGTCGCACAGTGGGGAGTTGTTTTACAGGAATTTGGCCTGCGCATCAATGCCAAGAAATGCCAACTCTACTGCTCACCATTTCACAATGGCAAGCGTACTATCAGGGTTCAGGGCGAGCTCCTCTATGCCACTGAAGACCTCCACATTCTGGGCATGACATTCAGGGTTGGCATCACTCCATCGGAGACCATTGCTCCGTTGCTTTCTAAAGCCAGGGCTAAATTTTGGGGAGGGCTGAGGCACCTGCTGAGAGCTAAGACCCCCATTGGTGGCCGTGTGCGGTTTATGGAGCGTGTGCTTGGAGGAACGGTCCTTTGGCCCTTGGCAGCGCTGCCGATGGACAGAGCCAGCCTGGGGCTTATTAACAGTCTCCAGCTGCAGATGTGCATATGGCTGATGAGGGTAGCAAAGAGGAACGAACCTATGCCAAAAAGCGGTGGTCGACTTTGTGGTTGGAGAGGTGGTGGGCATATGCGGGGCACCGCACAAGGTGGAGCCTCCATGCAGACCTAAACGCAGCCACGATCATTGACTCGTACCGCACCAGGGTTTGGTGGTTGGACCAACAGGCGAGGCCCCGTACAGGCACCACTCACCCGGGACACATATACCCAAAGTTGATGAACATGGAAAGGGATATGGATGAAGTGGCCGGCGGCCCGTGGAGGGAACGCACCTACAACCGACAAAGTTGGAAGGAACTCACAGCAGCGTGGTGTGCGCTGAAGGACCCCCCTTGGACGAGTGGGAGACAGCGCGGCATTACAGACTAACATTTCCATCGTGTATCACCACAACTTGTATTCACGTTACAGAGGGAGGGTATTTGACGATCATGGCTTTGGGCAGGAAGAGTGGGGTGAATAACATCTTGCCCCCTGCCCAACTCCGAGCACGGTGCAGAGGTCTTCGACAGGGATGGCGGTAGCATGATGAAGGTGTGCCCTGACGCCCTACAGCCGTACCTGGTTCGAATTCTTGCGTGCCTTGTGCGATGCAGCGAGTGATGCTGACCTACATGATCGGGTGGATGCCCCTTGCATCCCTACATATCCTCCATATCTCCGCGCTCACTCCTCAAGGGACTGAACAGCGCACGTTTGACGAAGCAAAGTTTGGCGCATACGCCACTCGTTTCCCGACACACTGCGAATTCAGCAAGGATGACCCTGGACCGGGACTGTGCCATGAAGCCTGGCGGACCGAGCACCTCAGTGAGCATGCCGCCTACCTGGGATGGATGCTGCCCGCCGGAAGCCAGCAATGCGACCTGACAGCGATCCACAGCGACGACCGGGACGAAGAGCAGGAGGGACCAGGACTACGCGAAGAAGCTCGGCGGTTCCAGCACCCACGGGAGAACACGGATTACCAGGGACAGGGAGTACCTCAGCGAGATCGACAATGGATGGAGAACAGGAATGAAAGTGTTGCCAGGGGCCGAGCGCACGAGGTGCCGGGACCGGAAATGTGTCAGGAAGGTTGGCGATTCGTGCACCCCCGGGAGAACACGGATTACCAGATACAGGGACTACCTCAGGGAGATCGTTGGACCAAGCGCCCCAGTGAGAATGCCGTTTGCCTGGGATGGCTGCCGCCTGTCGTAAACCAGACATGCGACCTGACAGCGAATTACAGCGGCGACGGGGATGAAGAGCACGAGGGACAGGGACTACGCGAAGAAGCTCGGCGGTTCGAGCCCCCCTGGGAGAACACGGATTACCAGAGACAAGGACTACCACAGCGAGATCGACAATGGCTTGAGAATAGGAATGCAAGTGTTCCCAGAGGTCGAGGGCACGAAGGGCCGGGACCGGGACTATGCGAAGAAGGTTGGCTATCCGAACGACCCCGGGAGAACACGGGTTACCAGATACAGGGACTGCCTCAGGGAGATCGACTAAGGATGGAGAATAGGAAGGCAAGCGTCGCCAGGGGCCGAGTACACGAAGGACCGGGATTCCGACACCGGAGATGGCGGGCCGTATGCCACCAGGTGAACACTGACCATCCACGCTGCAGGGAGATCAAGACGGACAACGCTCAAGAGGACGAACACCGCAAAGGACCGGGACTACCTGGCGAAGGTCGGCGGCCCCAGCACCCCCGGGAGTCCACCATCTACCAGGGACATGGACTACCGGAAGAAGATCGTGGGACGGATAGCACGCAGGATGGCGCCACAGGAGACGAGGTGAACCTCATGCAGCAATGCTCGGACGAATCGGCCTGGGTCGCCTTCCTGGGTGCACTCCGAAGAGAGCTGGAAGAGGCAGCAAAGGATGCCAGGCTCCGCTTGGCGCAACACCTGCTCTGCCGACTCGACTGGCACAGCACGAACACGCGCGAGGGCTACTGGTTGGGCCACATGGCGGGCAAGGTGGCAGACATGACGGCCCTGCTCGCCGCGGCGATGGAAACACAAGAAGCTGACCTCGCCACGCCCCTCCCTTCGAAGGCCTTTGGGCGGAAGCAGAAAGGTTCCTGCATATGCATCCAGGGTCAAGGCGAAGCAAGGGACTCAGCCACGGAGAAGGCATGCCACCAGTCATGTGCTTCCCGAAGCCCGTGCCCACAAATACACCGACTAGCACGGCGAGGGGAAGCGCGGACAGACCAGAGATGCCGCCCTCAGAGCCAGCGAAGCGGAGGTGCCTCATGCTGCAGCTGAGTTCGGGCTGCGAAGACGATGTGACTCGGACAGGCACACTACGGGTCCCACTGGAGGGCGACACGGCGGAGCTCCGCCTGAGGATCACAGTGCAGAGCAACGGTAGTAGTGACCAGGAAACAGTCAGGCTCGCCCCGGAACTGAACGAGACGAATGTGGAGCCGAGCCCCCCCCCCCCACATGCACCGCCGCAACCAGGCCAAGACCCGGACAACACAGATGAGCAGGAGCTCCTCTCTATCTCGAGCTTGACTGTCTCCCTTCCTCTACTCGTCCTCCGTGAAGGACGTGCCATGGACGAGGTTGCCCCCATCCTCATGATGGCCAGGGACCAGCTAGGAAGGTTGCGCAGAGAAGGGTGGACAAGACAACAGCAAGCCAGCACGCTCTGCGTACTAATGCAAAAGCGCGGACATGGAGAGTACACCAGTGAGTTCCCTAGCTACCTTGCGCAGCTCGACCTCGACATGGACGTGGACCTCTCCCCCGCCAACCTGTTGGCGGCTCCGCCGGTGATGGAGTGGATTGAGGCGGAGATTTGGGACGAGTTTGTCGACTACTTTGAGAGCAGGGCTGGGGCAGAGACGGAGGCGGTCATGAGCATGCGACAGCGCCGACAGTGGAGACAGGGTCATCCGGCAGGGACGCAGCCCACGGAGGACAGAGAGAGGTCCCGCTCGCCGAGAACATCCCACCCGAGACGCGGGGCAGGGACATCGGCCTCGATGTGCACAAGCAGGGCCAGTTCGAGCCGTCCAGAAGAGGCGAAGCCAGCACAGGGGGACGCCGCTTCGCTGATGCAACGACGAGGGGTTGGAGACTCCAGGGACAGTGGTGGACGGCGCCGGAGACGACATCCTGACCGACGGAGAGGCAGAGAGAGAACACCGCCGAGAACAACACGGGGGGGTCCGCCGGGGAGGACCAACGCCAGCCCACGAGTCACGGAGGACTCGTCGCCTTTTGCCCAGGGAGGCGCCGAGGCGCAGTGCCAATACATGCTGGTCGAGGTGGGAAGAGGAGCGTGAGGAGAGGAATGCGACGGCCTCTCCAAGTGGCGGCAGAGCTGGGGAGATGGACCTGCTTCAAGCCACCGGGCGATGGATGGAAATCACGGGTCTACGTAAACAAGGCCATGGACATGTGGAGCCGTCGAACGCCATCCTCAAAGAGCGACATGAACATGGCCAGGGAGGCGCTCAAGCGGATGCATGACAAAGACCTACAAACAATGTTCCGGGCGCTTATGCGGCTCATGGGGATGCTCTACATCGAGCTGGCCCATGTCCTTATTCAGACTCAGGACTACCGGGCACGCGCAGGCGACATGGTCGAAGTGGAAGTGGAGGAAGAAGGTGACCTGCCGGAGGAGGAGGAAAGCATCTACATGCAGCTGACGATGGAAGGGCGCGCCAAACTCAGCTGGGAAGAGACCCTGCAGAGACTTGTTCGTCAGGGGGACGAACGAGACGAGAGGGAACTTATGCGGGCCTTGAGGCGACGCATCGCCAGCAGCCTCTTCATGCAGACGGCCCGTGGAACGCAGCTGCACGCCGCCCTGACAGCGGTTGCCGAGGACCAGGCTGAAGGACAGACCCCAAGCTGTGAGACCGTGCCGGAGGATCTGGACAGCGTGGAACAATGGTGGACGCACCTCAAGACATATATGAGCCTCTCGGACCACGAAGATGGTGCACCTGGCGACCAAGCACGAGGCAGCGGCCAAGACCACCGACATGCAGATGAGGAAGTTCAACGCTGGGAACAGGAGCGACGCCAACTGGTAGCTGAACGCCAAGTTCAACGTGATGAACAAGAACGGCAAGAGACGTCAAGGGACCGGGAGGAAGCCGCCCAAAACGCCCGGGATGTCGAACTCTACGAGGCGCACCAGGCAGCTGTTTACCGTGATTGGGAGCAATGGGTGGTGCTACACACTCCTAACACGGTGAAGAGACGCAGGCTGATCCTCACGGCAAGTGCAGGCACACCCACAGGGGAAACCGGAGCTGTGCTGGGGCATATGGCGGTTCCAGTTCCGGCGAAGGCGGAGAGCTACCACCTGCAGCTACGTCTTGAGGATTACCGTGTACCTACGGCAGCACTGGCCAATGGGACTGAGTCGCAACGACCCAATGAGGACGAGTACCAGAAGGTCTTCAGTGCCTGGAATGCGGGCCACATCACCGACAGGGGTCGAGTTGCTCTACGGCGCCGACTGGCTGGTCCTCTTCCAGCTGGAGAAAGAGGAACTGCAAAGGGTGGAGGACACGACGGGGGCGATGGACACGCAAATGGATGCTGCTGAAGGTGATGCAGGGCAAGGACAAGTACTTACCGGGGTGCCCGTGACCCAGATGGACGTCGCGGGCGAGGCAGGGCAGGAACGGACAGAATGCGACATAGAAGCTGGTGGAGATGTCCCGCAGATGGACGAGATGGATGAAGGGTTTGCTGTGACGAACACCCCGCACATGGTTGAGACGGTCAAAGGGTTTGCTGTGGCGAGCACTGAGTCGGGAGGAAAGCAGTGAGAGCTCGTAGTGTGTAGATCAAACGCCTGCCCACAGGGGCTTTGGAGCGCAAGCAACAGAAAAGGCCCTTAAAAAAAAAAACCTAAACCCTGAACCCTAAACCCAAAGAAGAACCATTTCAGGGCTCGATTTGGTTTGGGGAGCCCCGCCTTTTTTTCGAATATTTTACCCTTGCCCTACTCCTACTTGGAGGTTCATGGGGAGTTATAAGTACGGTTATAAGTCCCCTAACAGGGGTTATAGCTATTCGAAAAACCGAGAGGCTTCCAGGATAGCAGAAATCAGCGATGACTCCACTCTGCCATGGCTAGCACTCGGACGAATTTGATTTGTTTTCCAACACAACAGCGAAGTGATATCACGGCCCTCAGCGAACATGCATTAGCATTCGTCATGATTGGACCTTGAACTTGCATGCACTTGCAGGCATGTTAAAAACTGCACGGCTCAAGGCGATCCCTTCGTAGCCAGCCTGCAGACGTATACAAAACTGCATGACTGTCCTGTGAACTGTTTCCATGCAGGGGAGAGACCCAATTTCCTCACTCCTCCTCAAGGAGCTCGCTAGGGCATACTTGATCATCCGCGGTCAACACCTGGCCGATCGAAGTTTGGCATCAAACCAGCCCTTAACATATCATCGACACTCGGAGCAGGGTGTTGTGGGTCTCGTCCGCGATGTCGAACGCAATACTCACAAATGCGTAAAGCTTGAACTCTTTCTTGCGTCCCTTTGTGCCTAAATGCGTGACACGGATTGTAAACATGGTAGCATTGGTTACCAGGAACAATGTAGACATTCTCTGGTATCTGAATCTCTCGCCGTACCTCCGTCCTCACTTCTGGAAGCACAGGTGTAAACGCTGGGCCTGTCGTCTGCACTGCCTTGTCCCGCTGATTGGAACCATATACAGTCTTCGTAGTCTGTAGCGGTGCATCTGGAACCCGGCTCAACGAGGCAGAGCGATCCCTAGCGCTTGAGCTACTGAAGAAAACCTCAGCATCCCGTGCCCTCATGACTTCAGGAGCAGTGCGCCCTTCAGCATTCAACTCCCTCCTTCTCGCTGTGATCTCGCTCTGGATCGCTTCCGTTGTCGCATCTCGAATCCTTCTCAGTCTCCTCATTCTCCTTGCACTTGCTCCAGGAGTAATCGAGAAATACATTTGCCATCCAGCATACTTGATAAGCTCCCATGCTGCCGTCCACAACAGTGCTATGATTGCAAACACGCACCACATCACCAAGCCATGGTCCACGGTCATCGGCTGATACACCACAAGCTCGCTTGCCTCACACTCAACAGCCTGTGACAACATCATCAAGGCAACCAACACTTTAAACCCATACGAGTTAGGGGCTATAGCTCCGGTGCTGCCGCAGTTGTTGTTGTCCTGTGCTGCTTTGATCTTCTCGGCAATCTCCTCCAGGGACATCAAACCAATTAGTCCAGCTAGATGACGCATTCGAATACTTGACAACGGCTTTGTCAGAGCATCTGCGAGTTGGTCATCTCCAGGCCAATGTTCAATTTCAAGATCCCCGGCCTCGAGCTTTTCGGTGATCCAGCTCGACTTAATCCTCAAATGGCGTGTTCGCCAACTGCCTGAACCACGCTGTATGGCAGCTGAGGACGTACTGTCCGTACGAAGCCGAAGTTCCCATGGACCGATATTGAGTTCAGAGAGTAATGCCTCGGCACTGATAAGTGCCAAGGCTCCCTCGGTGGATGCAGAAAGCTCACTTTCAGCAGTAGACAACGTCACTGTACTCTGACGCGCAGATCTCCAGTTTATTGGCGCCTCATCTAATGCAATAACCCACCCGCTATGGGAGCGGGATCCGTCAGGCGCGTATGACGCGTCTGTCCATGCAATCAGCTGATTGGATTTGGCTCTTATCCACAAATGCTGCTGGGACGTGCGCTGTAAGAATCCGATACATTTTTTGGCGATTGCGCTTGCCCTTCTTGGAGCACGTGCGGATAAGGAGCTGATAAGACTGGAGGTAAATGCGATATCAGGTCTCGTCCTCTGCGACACCCACAGTATCTCGCCAGCCAATCTCTGAGCTTGTCGAAGCTCCTCGACGGTAAAAACTGCTTCCGACGATTCTGCCACAAAACTGGCCTGCTCTCTTGATACCGGGACCAAGTCAAGCTGCTTTTCAGAAATTGCATGGATCCTTGTGAGTTCCCGAATATACGGTTCTTGGTTCAGGGCAAATCCACCATCGACCTTCACAATCTCGATGCCCAAGAACCTTATACCTCCTTTGGAAGCCCACGACAAAACACTGGTGTCCCACAACCTGTTGATAGCCTCTGCTACCGCTGTAATGATTGAGGGAATCGAGCATATCAGTAGGTCATCAACGTAAACCACCACCAAGCCCACCAACACTGAGTCTTCAACAAGTTTCCACCAGCTGCTTTCAACTCGACATTGTGTAAGCTTGATTCTTCTTGTACCAACCACCACATTGAGCTGAGCCAGGCGACTGTCTCGAAATTCACCCCACCATCGAGGTGATTCTCGAAGGCCATAAACTGCATGAGTAAAATCCCATAACTCATGTTCATGACATAGACCTGCCCTGACCAAAGCTCGAGGAGGTTGTCCAAGTATCCTTTGCTTGCACTGTACTTCACATAAAGGAGTCTGAAGGAATGCCGCAGTCACATCCAATACCGCTGCATCCCAATTCATTTTGCTGGAGACCGACAATGAGCTTCTAACAACCTCTGCTGGGGCTGCTGCAGCGTAAGTATCCTCTCCAGACTCAGCCATCATATTTCCACATGCAACAATCCTCACCTTCCTCCTGAACCACTCCCCTTTCTCAACCGCCTCTGCTGATGAGGGCTTCACTGTATATACCCCTTTCATTGGCACTAGCTTTGCACGCCCGCTCCTCAGATCCTTGATCACCTCCTTGTCGGTACTCATAACTTTCTTAGAGGCAGACTCAAAGGATTTGATCTCCTTGATGGCGGCTTGCTCCCACTTGCTGAAGGAGGCGGAGACCTCCGAAGGGTCAACATTGTGCACGATTGTAAGTGGTCCTTCCAGACTGCTGAGTAGTTCCTCGATTCCTTTTGTGTACGTGACCTCTGTCTTGGCGGCAACCGGTAGCCCATCACATGAGGCCAAAAGCACCTTTGGAACCGATTCAGGGCTTCCTTCTCCCAACGGCATAAACAAATCCCATTGCTCAACTTCACCCACAGACATTTCTTGCTCATTTCCACGGTCTTCACTGCAGTCATCATCACAAAGTCCATGTGGCTTGTCAAACAACACTGTCCCATCCGACGCTGCAACACCACTGGATAAGTCATCATGCTCACACACAACCTCCTCCTCAACCATGGTATTGTACTTTTGCCGGATCACAGACATCGCCCTCATAGCCGCAATTGGTGATGTCATCTCAATTTCAGCTGGCATCGGAAACCCAAGATGTGACAAAACCTCTCTTTCTGGGCCCTTAAGGTTCTGAGGAACTCCTGGTGTGTAACCCACGACCACTACCCGTAGGCCTTTCCACGGGAGCACAGCATGTCGTCGATGAGGATCAAACATGAAAACTCTCCCCGGCAC